CCAGCCTCCCAAATAAGACGGTTTCCGAAAAGACTTTAGTACCATAGACCACATACACCTTCGGCAAATTGTACAGAAGTCCAAAGAGTACAATCTGCTACTTTGTCTTGCGTATGTGGACTATGAAAGCCTTCGATTCCGTCAAAATGTGGGCGGTGCTGCAGTCCTTTCAGCGGTGCCAAATGGACTGTCGGTATATTGAAGTGCTGAAGTGTTAGAACAGTAGAGCTACTATGGCTATCTGAATACAGAACCAGAGTACGAAACCTGTCTAACTGCAGATAGGTGTAAGACAGGGTGACATTATATACACAAAACTCTTCACTTTTGCATTGGAAGACGTTTTAAAGCTACTGCACTGGAAAGCATACGGTATTAACATCAATGGCGATTACAACACTGACCTTCGATTTGCTGACGATATAGTTCTTATGACGGAATCGCTGCAGGACCTAAGCACTGTGCTCAATGACCTCAATAGTGTCTCCCAACGTATAGGTCTATGTCATGTGTGTCATAAAACGTCCATGTCAAACCTATGCCAATAGTTCTTGGAAGCATAACCTTACTTACGACATATGTTCTCGTCAGACATACCTCTGAATCTAAAAACAAGATTGTTCGCAGTGCGTGTTGCCAGTTATGGCCTATTTTTTGTTTTAGTTTTATCTTAAAAACAACGTACACGCTGGCTTGCACTATGCCCAAAACGTCAGCATGCTAATTTACAAATTACAGATTTAAATAATAGTAATAATATTAGATACATGTTAAAAAAATGAATTAATTAAAGAATACATATCCAATAGATCAAATAAACACAAAAAAATACATGCCAAATAGATTAGAAGTCAAATAGATTACATGTCAAATAAAATAATCAAAATGTCGTTGTCAGATTGATTACATAATAAGATTAAAAGAATATATTAAAATATGTCAAAATTGGATGTCATAAATAGAAGAGCTTTATTATATAGTTGCCCTAAGCTATCAGCAAATAAGTCGGTGTTGGCGACGCGCCTATAAAAATGTTTCAGTTTATTAAATCAACCGATGACGTTGCTATGAAAAAAGGGGGCAGTCACGAGCAACGACGCTCTGATAAGAGAATGCTTAGTTAAATCTTTAAGAAATGTCGAATTAATGATATGAAGGTCTTGGGTTCGACTCCCAGGCCGGACTAGTTTGTTTGTTTTCCTAAGTAATATCGCTTAATAAATTCGTAAGGAATTTAAGATATAAATTATGTTACCGGATTTGTTTCCCGGTTGAAATCATCTTTCAAATGATGTAAATTCATAAGAATATTAAAGTGAAGTTAAAGATCGGATTTGTTCCCCGGTCGAGATAATCACTCTGTGCATAGGCAGAATTAATGGATATTAATTGCATAAATGTGGTTTTGTATAAGTTTGATACGTTTTGTACGAAAACAAATGCCTATTTGTTATGATTGATTAATGAGAACATTCATTTATATTGTTATCTGATTAAAGATAGTTTCATACAGTTCGAAAATTGTATAAAAGCATTTAATTTGCCTAATATGGTCAAAATTGGTGTATTTCATAATTTAATTTTTTCTGATAGCCGAGAGCCGTGCAAAAGTTAGTTGTTCAAATAGTGTGAGTTCATAGACGCACGCTAGCCACGCCCTTAGGAGGCCGAATATGTAAAAATTTAAAATGTTTGTAATTCAGTGATTTATGTAAAAATTACTTGTAAAATATTTCAGGTTAATTGTACGTGCTAAAAAAGGTAAATTCTGTGTTATTTTCATGTGAAAATTCCTGTGTATAAGTGAAATAATGATAGTTTTGTATAAGAAATTTAAAAGTGTTTTAAATAGTGAAATAAATAGAAAAAATGTAAATTAAACTATTGTATTGGTTAGCTTATGTATAAATTCAAGTGAGAAACATTGTTTTAACTTTCTGTGTTAAATATTTAAGAAATTTCGATTTCGAACTTGTGAGTAAAATAGGCAGTTTTCGTTTAATAAATAAAAGGTTTTTTATGATATGAAGATATGATGTATATCATGGTGTAGATATTGTTTTGTACTACCTATATTGATAAATTGTATTTGTATATGATTTGAATAAATAAAGATATTGAGTGAAACGTGAGAGAGTAATAGTACAAATTCATGTAATTAAGTTGCGCAAGCGCGCAGATGGCGCGGCTCACTTTCGCGTATAGCTCTGGGGTAGCTTAGTGAACGGGTTTTATTGCAATTCGTTCGGGAATCCTTCGGGGAAGTTCGGAAATAGTTCGGAAATAAATAAGAAAATCCGAGAAAAAGTTCAAGAAAAGTGAAAAACCAGCAGTATAGGGAAAAGTGATTACTCTCTCACGGAACGGTTTGAAGATAATTGCTGTTTCATTCCCAAGATCCTTTAAGTTATACAGTCCACATCGAAGAATTAAGGCGTCGGGACCGGGACGACTTCGGAAGACCCGTAATCCCCGTCTGAACCTACTTGCTGAAAAGGAAGAGGTTATCGCCCTAGTGTGTTACTCCGTTGCGGAGATCACATACGTTGTTCCCGAACCCAACGTAGGCGTGATAGGAGGCCGGATCGAGAGAAGCCTCGATTCCTGTTTCTTAGTACCCGATCCGCTAGGTCCTTTTCAATTGGTCCTTTTCAGGATCAAGAGGACACCGAACCTGAGTTCCTTTTCAATTGGACCTTCGGAGCCGGATTGAAGACCACCCGAACCCCGCCAGCTGGATCAAGGAACCAGCTGTGGACTGCTGGTTGTGGAAGAAGAAGACCTTCGGAAGCCGAGTGAAGATCAGCAACCGAAGGAAGCCAGAGGTTTGAGCTGAAGCAATAGGACCAAAGGCCTGAAGACCAGGACGGCAGCACTGAAGGGCTGGACCTGGAACTACCGGAAGAAAGAAAACCGGGATTGCAGCTTGGGGCGTGTGCTCGCATGGGGCACATATCGCAGCCGGGCGCAGGTGTCTTGTGAAGGCACTCATCGTGGCCAAGCAGGGCTTGGCATTTTTCCTGTCGGGCAAGCGTGCTCGGCATTTCCTGTCAGACGATCGTGTCTGGCATTTCCTGTCGGACGACCGTGTCCGGCATTTCCCGTCGGGTCATCAGGGTGCAAAAAGCATCCACCGCTGCTGCTGCCGGGCGAGGGTGCGCGTGGGCACCTGACTGCATCGCGGCCGGAGGAGGGCGCTTGGACGAGGCGTCACCGGCAACTGGGCGGCGAGCACAGCATACATCCCGACCACCTAACGGTGCCAAACGGTTGGGCTCTGGCATAACACCTTCGGGTGGAGCAGTTCTCTCGAGCTAAACTGCGCTTGCACTACCGCTCGACTGTTTCGTCATATTCCTTGGCGGGACAGTTCCTAAACCTTTCCTCCATTCCATTCCTGCACGACTCCATCCCTGGACGGCTCACCTCGGTAGGCCCCGTTCAGGATTGATAGGGCTGATAGGGCTGTTAGGGTGGTAGTAGGGTTGTAGGGTTGGGAGATAAAGGGGGGAGGGGGTAGTGGTGTTAGGTTGGGGTGTAGAAGGGTTGTAGGTAAGGGGTTGTAGGGACTGTAGGGACAGTTAGGGACCGTAGGCCAACAATCACCTTCCTGCAAGATGAAGAAGGCACAAGACCAGACAGGGAGAAGCGAAGGGAGCAGGACAAGGACAGGGCTCTCAAGAAAAGCTAAAGAAGCGGAATCATCTGGAGCGACCACAGCTACTGCGTCAAATGGAGCAACTCCTTCAAGTGGAGCCACCACAGACACGTCCACATGCACGTGGGACTCAGGGACGTCCATAGCAACGACGAGCAACAGGACGGACACCAGTGGTACGCAGGCCAGCACCGCACAACAATCCGTTATATCCAGGAGTGAAACGGTGGTCGAAAAAAGTAGGTCAAAGGACCGAAGAAGCGGCATCGTCAAGGACAGTAATCGGGCACACTAGTGATAAAGGGTCACAGAGAGGTAGTAGGTCATCGCGATCGGCGAGGCTGAAAGCCGAATTAGAGGCGCGGATTAAATTCGAACGCTCAGAGCTCGAACGAGCACAGGCAGCTGCTGCCTTAGCCAAGTCTCAATTGGAGTTGGCACGACTCAACCGAGAAGAGGAAATCGACTCGAGTGAGGATGATGAAGAGCGGAATACTCAGGTGGAACCTTTCGTAAGGAGTTGGGTTCAGCAAACCATAATGAGCGCGCCGGTTAGTGTAGCACAACCCGATATTACTGATAAGGAAGCGTGTAAAGGATCACGCCGCAAAGGGGCGGAGGTCGAGCGCAACCTAGGAAATGCACAGAAAACACACGCGAGTGAGGTGTCAGAATTGACCGAAGCGATTGTAAGTGCAATAAAAATAGCTGGTAAAGATAAATCTTCCCAGCTTCATTTCCTCCAGGAATTACCGGTGTTCGATGGAGACCCGGGTGAATGGATAATTTTCAAAACGGTGTTTGAAGACACAAAAGGCCAATTTTCAGGGGTGCAAAATGTCGCACGCCTTAGGAGGGCATTAAAAGGCACCGCTAAAGAGGCGGTTAAGTCGCTGTTATTTACTTTATGTGAACCTGAAGAAATAATGAACGCTCTCGAAAGAAGATTCGGTAGGGTTGAGATGCTCATTCTAGCCGAAATCGAGAATGTAAAGCGTATGCCAAGATTGGCAGAAGATTGCCGAAATATAGGATCTTTTGCAAGTCGTATTACGAACGTGGTTGCCACAATACAAGCGTTGAATCAACCACAGTATTTATACTCACCGGAGTTAGTGAGCCGCATAGTGGAGAAACTTGGAACTATGATTAAATTTAAATGGTTTGAATATCGAGCTCAATATCCTTTGGAGCCAGAGTTACAGAAGATGGCCAAGTTTTTAAAGGAGATGTTCCATAAATGTATGGAGCCTGGGCCAGCACTATGTACACTATATGTGAATATTGCTGTATAATATAGTAACCGTTTTTTATTGTTAGTTTTCTTTAATTTCACTGCGTTTCATTGTACATTCAAATTAACTTGGTCAAGGAGAGCAACACAACATAAAATTAAACATGGTGGATCCAGGTGGATCGGAACAGCAGTACGCGAAAAAATGTCATATTGACAGTGACATTTGATTGACGTGTATAGTAATTCGTAATATCTGCAATAAAAAAAAACAACACGAATTTCAAAAATCTGGGATTTCGATAAAATAAGACTACAGGATATTCTTCTCGATTGCGGCACCACATTTTATATCACCTATTCGAGTAGTTACAGATTGGTTATATCGGTGTCAAGAGGAGCAAGAAACGAAACAAAGGCTTGAACGTTATTTTATTTACAACACTTTCCTGCTGCTTCGTTTAGTTTTTTACTTTAGTGCCTATAAATATACTCTGTACTTCAATAATTCATAGGAGAGCAGTTAGCTGTACAGTACCTGATGACTGCAAGTTATAGTTAAAGTAGATAACTATACCTATTACACAGTAACAGATGGGAAGAAATCAACTATTCTTATCCAATTAGGTAGCAGCAGCATAATCAGCCTATAATGTTTCTACCGCTGAGACATATAACTACTTTCTGTGAGAGTGGACTGTAATCCAACATGCGGGCCCAGTGCCCAATTAAACACTAACAATTTTTCAAACAAGTTCTATGTTATATGATTCCTAGTATTAGAGACATTAATAGCATGAGAAATAAGTCATGAGGTATACAAATAAAACAACTTGTTGAGACTTTTAATTTTATTAATTTTCTACATCATCCATTATTAATATTCCATCCAGGAATGACGCCGGTGCTTCTATGCTCTCTTGGTACCGAGCCCAACCCAAATACCACACAATGGTCATAATGTGAGCACAGCAACCCACTGTTCGTTGTCCGGAGATACAACTACAATAATAGCTAATTATTTTATCATCCCAACTTGATCCTTCCTTTGACAGCAAAATATATGTATAATATGTTCGTCCTGAGCTATGTCGAGATTTTATACGGCCTCTGATTAAAAGAGGATCAAGTTGGGATGGGGTTGCTTCTGCTACTACTTCCAGTTGGTCAGATACTTCTACCTGAAATGATCCATGCTGCCTAATATGTTCCCCGAAATAGCTTCTAGCCTGTTTTATTTGATAGGTACCCAGCCCAAAAGTATCAAGTCAGACATAGTCATTTCAGGGAAAATACTTAACTCTGGAAGTTGACCATCAATTCTTGTGAATTGGGCTCTAAAGCGGTTGATCCGGTTAGCAATTATAAGTTCTGCTAACCGGTTGGGCATATTTTTTCTCTGTATTGCTCGAGTAAGTATAGCATCAGCATCTGGTCTATTTTCAATCACTGGATGGAATGCATTAATTATAGCTGCACAAATACGAACATCGTCCATCAAATGGGTGGCAGCCAAATTAAAATATTCGTGTCTCAATAGCTTAAAGTCTCTTTTAAATCGGCCATTAACTACTTCTACCACCCATCTGCATAGTGTCACACATCTTGTCTTGTTTGCACTGATGGTTGATAACTGAGTCTCTCCTTGTTCTAATGACTCCGGTTTAAATACTTTGAAGCCCAACCCCTCTAGCATTGGAATGGAATCACGAAAGCCTCGATCCAAAATGAAAACATCATTGGGCTGAAAAAAAGCCCTTAGACCCTCATTTTCATTTTGGAACAAAGCTTTCATGATGTCAGCATCTGATTTGGTTGCTGGATAGGGCCCCAAAATATCAATAATATAACCATCAGTGGCAACAATGAGAAAAAGGTTTAACAAGGTTTCTATATTTGTGCAAGCTATAAGTTTTTTTTTGGAACATATAGTTGGATGATTTTTTGAAGGTATATATAGGTACCATCAAATATTATTATTGGTACTCTTGCCTCTCTGTTTCCAAACAAACCCTCGGGTATTAATAAATTCCTATTTATTAAATCATTTCTTGTATGATTGATTCCTAAGTGGAGAGGCACAAATAACCTTAGCAATGCCTCTTTAGCTACTCTAAGCAATCGTGTTATTGAGGACTTGGTCAGATGAAACAGAGAGGCAATCCTTTCATGGGAGTCCCCTGTACGAGCTTTCACCAAATAGATTCCCAAAGCAATTTTTTGGTTTTTGCAAGTCAATGCTGGGCTTATTACATTTAAAATATTTATAAAATTGTCTTTTGTAATTCCAGTCCAGAACTTAAAGAGTCCCTCATCAATACTACTCATATTATTAAAATCTAGTTGATTTATTTCATTGTCCTGGATACTCAGCTTCAGCATTGACTCTATTTCATTTTTTGTAAATGTATTTGAGAACTGATGCTGGTCCAGAAACTCCCAGTTGTATAAACATTTATGTTCATTACATACTCTTGCATTTTCTGTCACAAATATTTTTTCCGATTTTAATATAATTCTTCTTAAGTATTCCGGCACTCTATTTCGTTCTACATTGTTACAGGCCGGCACAAAACAATGAGTACTTGTCTGTGTTGTGTGTGTAAAACCATCAAGTGTTATTGATGCACTTGGTGGCTGGATATCAAATTGCACAACTTCTTGCTCCATTTCTATATTTTCGTGTGCACGTGTCCAGCAGTTGGAACAAAGTAGCGCATGTTCTGGTAACTGAAACAATACAAGAAACAATTTACTTACAGGAGCAACAGAAAGGGTTACTTACAGTTAAATGCAAAGTTACATTACTTGTGTATGGTGGTTTAGTAAATTAAAATAATTTTACCTCATTGGGGTAAATTCTTGCTGCAACTTCATCTCTCACAGGACCACTAGCCACATGTGTTCGCCTTCGGTGTAGCGACATTCTACACCATGCACACATAGAGTCTTGGTGAAGATTAGATGGGCCTTGCCGGTTATCCTCAACCCTTGTAGCATGCTCCACATTTCTACGTGCTGCTACCCAACAAGCATAGCAAACCAGTCCTCCTGGTGGAATCTGAATTAAACAAAAGAAAACAATATGTATTGACTATTAACCCAATTATTTAATTCCAACAGTAGGTAATTAAGTAAGTTGTTAATGTTACCTCTCTTGGATATATCGTTTGTGTTATTATGGTCCGTTCAGGTCCTTCAGGTATGGAGTGGCTGCGTGTTTGGGCAAGAGACCGTCGGCACCAT